GACTCAGTGGTGCAGGTATGATTTTTGTCAGGCACGCTGGTGACATACAAGCAGCAGCAAAACCCCGCTAATGAGGTTGGTATAAGATGCTATATTGCTCTGCTCTCTCAAATAGCTAGATTAACTGTGTGTTTTCTTATATCCTGGAATGTGGTCAATAGCAAACCAGGGGGGGCACTGATTTTTAGTAAAACACTTCAGCAATTTATACAGGAATATTATGTAGCAAGTTCTGAAGTGCTTTTCTGCTGTTTCCCATCCAAGTGATTTTTCACGGTGCGTTTGGTCAGGAGTTATTAACTGCAAACAGATTTCACTTCTGAGGACTCCCTCGATCTAAACCCATGCTTGTCATTCAAATGCCCCAACATGAATCAAGTACAAATGTGAATTTTCACAGCCAGTGCAGTTCATTTGGAGCAAGCATGCATTTAGCATTACACAAAACACAGCCGTCCACCCCTTGACAGTCCTTGCTTGTCCTGGTATTTTGAGGGAGAAGGGGGAGGACATTTATTCCTGATGGTGAACTTTAAAAGTATATTTTCCTTTTAAATGCCAACCTATTCCTTTTCCATGTGGGTTTCAAAAATATCTCTGACACTTTGGCTCAATACCCAGGTATTCCAACTGTTATTCTAAGATGGTGGAAATTAAAATTCTGTTGACTTCACTGGAGCTTTGCCAGTTTTTCTCAGAGGAAGATTTGATTTCAGAATGTTTAGTGGAGCCTATATCTGATACATTCACTGCAGGCACTGTGGGTGTTGGGTGGTAGCTGTACTGATGCCAGTAGCTGGAGTGACTGGGAAAGGGAAATTCCACTCTGTAGCAAGGGTTGTGGCTCCAACCTTCTATCTTTCTTATTATCAACTTTCCATCTCATATGAATGATATATTCAAACTGTCTCTTGCAAAGGTAAAACTGTGTTAAGATGTCCTTTTCTAACCTTGAGCAATGTGCTAAAGGGTTGGAAGTGTGTCCTGACTCCAGGACCCTGATCACTTTGAGTCCAATAGAGCAGAGGTTTGTACTTTGGCCTCCTGAATTTCCTGTTGGGGCCATGGTCTCAGGCACTACATCCTGAAAGCATCTCTTTTTCACATCACTGATCTAAAAGAGTAAAATTGATCTTGACTGGTCATGACTTAGTAAAATTGAAGTGCTGGTTTTTTTCATACTCAGAAAGGGAGTCAGTGCCTCAAACTTTCCATTCTTTGTCCAAATGTATCATCTTTCCTATTAAAATTTACAGTGTTTCCTTCATTTTTTTTATCCTTTAACACCTCTCATGTTTACACCAAAAAAAAAAAAACCCCAAAAAACCCACAAAAAACCCACAAATAAGCAAAAAAACCCCAACCCCCAAAACCACAAAAACCACCCAAAAAGCCCCACCAATTGTTCCTGCAAGCACAAAGCAGTAGAACTAATGTAGTTTTCATGTCACAACAACTTGGGCATATAACTAATGAATCCATTTGTAAGATACCTGCTGACCTCCACAGACAAGTAGTTCCTGATCCTGACTTTATTTAGTTGTTCCTGTGCATAATCTCACTGCAGACACTGAAATTAATGATAAATTTCCTGTGGATTTCAGTGTGTACAGGTTGAGGCCCTCATTTATTAAGGGTTTATCATTGCAAATTTGCTGAAAACACCAAACTCTCACAGCTCCTGTGGGCCTCATTTTCAGTCCTGCGGAGGCATCATAATACCACGTTTGCTATAGCTGAGTCATTCCCATGACAACAAATGGAGTCTAAAATACAACATTCTGACCTTGCTGTGTGATCAAACAAAACAGAGAAGCTGGGCATTGAAGACAAAAGTTAATTGAACATATAAACCCAGCAAGCAGGTGGGAGAGAAGATAAAGACAAAATATTTCTCCTTCTCTGAAGTTCTGCCCGAGGTAACTGTCTTTCCACAGATTTTTCTAATGTTAGGATATGCTGTGGTTAGCCTGAGTATCCTCCTCTGCAGAAAGCTCAAAGGAGAGCAAATGAGAGCTTGTTAATAAATCCATTTTGCATTAATTCTTTCTGGAGAATGAGCCGTGAAAAGCAATACTATTTTACAGCTTCTTCCAGTGTATCTAAAAGCAAGGCACTTTGAGAAATGGGATGATTGAAATGTTATTTGAGTTATTAATAGTCTTTGCAATAGAAATCAAGGCAGAGTCAGTGAACTGCTCTGAATCAAATCCTGGATTGGTAGAAAAATCAGGGTAGGAAAAGCAGTGGCTAACTGGCAAAGTGGTCATCACAGGAAACCAGTGACACAGGCCTGAGTGACCATAAGAATCTGCTGCCTGGGCTGTGACAGGAACAGACACAAAGCACAACTGGAAGTGCTCACATTTCCCACCAGTTCATAGGCAGAAATGTTATATTGCAGCTGGCCTGGCAATGAAAGAATAGTTTCAGATTGAAGTAGCTTTCAGATCCAGTTCTAAAGGATTGACAGCAGTAAAAGAGAAGGTTTAGGTGTCGGTAGGAAGGCTGGTGGTCTTCACAACTGTGTCAGTGAGAGATGGATTTCTAAGTCCCAGTTTGAGTTTGTGAGAATGTTTTTGAGGATTCCAGTTGGCGTGAACTAAGTTACTCTCAGGATCCTTTCCCATAGCAACATCAGGATTAAGACTTCTGTGCCTTAGTGTAGGGCAAAGAGCATGGTTTGAATTGTTCCAATGCAGAATTAACTCAAATTGGATCTTCCACTGGCAGAACTCTACCTATTAATATCTACAAACAAACTTGCTCTTGGATTCTGGAACCTGGCAAGGGTCTTCTTCCTTATAGATAGGGCACTCTGATAAATGTATTTGTCATATTGCTGCATATTGTGGATGCAATGAAGAATTAAGAATGAGAAATCTTTGTCAGTGAGAACAGAACTGTAGATGACAGTGCACTGATTTACACTAAACACACCAAGAAGTGGCTGATCCATGGCATTACAGAGACAAGCCCAGAGAGCTCCAACCAACTGCTGTAGTTGCTGCTCTTGTGCATAATAGATTTAGCATTGACTGTAGACACAGAGACCCTCCAGGTTTTGTTCAGCCCACAGGCAGATACCCAGGGGGGAGAAGCATTTCAGGTCTGGACTAGAGAAAGGAAAGTTTCGTTAGTACAGCTACTTATGCCTTGCCCTTTGAGAACAGGTGACAGTAGGAGCAGATGACAGTAGGAGCGGATGACGTCTGTGAGGCAGCCAGGTTGGTGGAGCTTTGATTAAATAATCACTGTACCCAGGGATCTTGCCCAGTGGTGCTCAGAGTCTGTCCCACTCACACCCTGGCATGTAGACTTTATCCACTGACACTTCCAGTGTCCAGGGATCTGAGTTTTTCTTGGCCTCAGCGAACAAATTGCAACCCAGGAACTGTGGGCCAGAAACGATGGAGCAAGCAGCTGTTGCTCTGCTGCCTCTACATCTGCCTGACACAGTAATTAAATCTCATCAGCCATTCAATATAATGGAAGCAAACCAACTACAACAGAAGGATTTTGCAGCATAACTGTCTCATGATGTGTAACTGCAGCTGTATATTTACCTTTGTAATTAATTCTGTAAGCATTTATAGGGCATTACAAGGGACTGAGTAATTTAGAAAGCAGTGGATCATTAAAAATAGCGAAAGGCATAATTACTTACTTCTACCATCAATCTCCTCCATATCTTCTCTGCTGATGTTTCTCATGGATTGTTTATGTTCATTACATTACCTTCTTATCAAAATTATCTCAGGTTTCAGGTTTCATTTCCAGGTTGGGAAAAAGGCAACAGTGCTATAGTGGGACAACAGTGTTGCCTGTTAAACACCCCATATTGAGCAGAAGCCCTAATTTTGCTGGAGGACTGACATTGCCTGTAACTTGAACACGATAAATTAATTTCCTTTTGTGGAAAATGTGGGCCCCACTTCAGTGGGTGCTCTGTGCTGACATTTATGATGTAGGCTGGTACCTAATGTAGCTGATTAAGCAGTGCATTTGTTCTCATTGTATAAATCCTTGTTTGATGAAATAAGTGGGTTATTGAGCCCTTTCTATCAGATTTATTTTCAAGAGAGTTGATTTTTTTTTTTGTTTTTTGGAAACTCACACAATTCAGCTCATTGGCAGGAGTTACCCAGGAATCTTGCCAGTGGAAATCTCCCTTATTTATTAATCTTTTCTGAATTCTGTAGGCATAGATGTATTCTCTCCTGGCTATGCTAAACCAGATCAAATTTATGAGGTTAACTGACCTACTCTAGGTTTGCACCAGTATAGAGAAAGGTGTAATGAGACTCCTTTGTGTATGTCCCCCAGGGCTGCACAGAAATAGATGTGGCTTTAATGTCTCCTTCACTATCAATGTTTTGTTTCTCATTTTTTTTTGCATCACATAAAGTTCTAAGCTGGGCCTGGTAAGGTATAAGGTATACTGAGGCAGGTTGCACTGTGGGGCCTTTCTTCTGACCTCCAGCCCTGTAGACCCCAAGGCCAATGCATGTGCTGCAGGGCAGATGACTGGGGGCTGGATGAGCTGCAAATGAAGTTCCTTTGTGCTGATGGAGGGCAGAAGCTCTTCCTCTCTTCTAGGCACCAGCACTCTGATTTTAGTGACTGGAGAGCAGCAAACCCAGACCTTCTGTGCTGTATGGGGGCTGTGAGGGGACCAGTGGGCACCTCGGGCACAAGCATGTGTGACCACCACTTTGGAAAATGGGCTTGGCAGCAATCATTTTCTTCTAGAAAGTCAGCAGTGTTTTCCTTCTAGAAAACAACAGTTTCCAGCAGGGAATTCTTGAAAATAGTGAAATATTCTCCTAAAAGACATAATTTAACTTCAGTCACCTTCAGTGTGCCGAGCACCCAGGCTGGCTCCTAGGCCAAGGACAAAGGGGGCTGTCCTGACCTTCTCCCGGGCAGTTTGGTGTATTTGGAACGGACGTCCCCAGCGATGTATTTTTCTGAGCTGCTCTTTGGTTTGTGTTTTGCAGAAGCGCTCTGGAGGCGTGTGCTCCTACCTGCGCCGCGCGTGCCGGGCAGCGCTGCCCCTGCAGCTGCTCCTCCTGCTCCTCCTGCTCCTGGCCTTCCTCCTGCCCCTGGCACAGGAGACCCACAGCTGCACCCTGGCCAACAACTTCGCTCGCTCCTTCAAGCTGATGCTGCGATACGAGGGCCCACCCCCGACATAGCTCCTTAGCACGGCACGAGGCGACGGCAGAAGGGCAGCCTCCTTGTTTTTAATTGCAACTAATGTAGATTTTAGGGCTTCTAACACAGCCATCATGCCAGTGGGCTAGATTGCATAATGCAACATGAAATTAATCCACTTTAATCAGGTATTTGAGCAAAATTAATATTTTTACAGTTTTTTTATTGTTGTATTTATAATATGTATATAGAGATTGTGTATGTATGTACATAGATATATATAAATGCATATCTATGGCCAAGCTAACAACCACCGTCCACTCATCCACTGCTTAAAGATAATTCTGCAAAGTTTCTGCCATCTTCCAGTAAGCAATGCTGAAGGATGGTGTTGTGGGATTTTCTGGGTGATTTTTAACATCAGATTCTTGTATACAAATGAAGTCAGAGCAAGTATGAGAACACGTGGTCATGCACCAGGGTGTAAACTGGTGAGAGAGCAGGCACAGTAGAATCACATTTGATTAGAGTGGTTGACATTCAGCCCAAGGAAGATTTGGACTTTTCTCTTTGAAATCTTCAGTTGATTTTTCAGTATCTGGATACAGGGATTGCAGAAGCTAATAGAAATATTTCTACTGACTTCAGTAGGAGTGGGAGTAGACCTCCTCTTGTTCTTATTTTTTACAAGATTTCTTCTCCAATTGCTGTATTCTCCAGCCCACCTGAATCAGGAGAGGTGGAATACAGTGGAGAAAAAAGATAGAAAAAAAATAATATATTTTTTTAGCATCTCTCTAGCAGGAGAACTTTTAAAATCAGGTCATAATTTTCTGAACAAATTTGTGAGCAGTGAACAAAACCTTATATCACCAATTTTGTCTATAAAAAAGAGTAGTTTTCTTTCTTAGATTTTTGTGTTTGTGGTGTTTTGTGGTTTGGTTTGTTGGGTTTTTTCCTTTATAAGGAGGCATTTGGTAATGGATTCTAAAGGCTGAACAGTGGGATGCAGCCTGGCTCAGTGTCAGTAAAGCAAAAGTTGGAAGTACTTTAATAATACCACCCTGGAAGCAAGATTCCTACCTAGAATTCTTTTGTATTAATGGTTTATTGAAATTGTGTAAACTTATTGTATCAAAGACAGTGAGGCATAGGTTTCTATGTAATCTAAACTCTAAAATTATAGCAACTTTTCATTTATTTACCTAATCCTATGTCTGATTTATCACATTTTTGAATGTACATTATACATTGCCTTTAAATGTAAAAGCAATTTTCACTTCAGAGTGATGAAGCAATTTTTAGTGGTGTTTTACCTAATTGACTCCTTTTTCTATTTCTGAGAGCTATCCTTTATTGTCTCATGGTTCTAGCTATAGTAGTAATCATGAAAAAAAAAAATCTTAACAGAAGAAACTGTTACTTTCTGTCTCCTGGCTGTGTTGCAGGAAGAATTTCTCTTCTGCATATCAGTATGGGGTACTTGGTGTTGTTTTCTGTATAAGGTCTAAAATAATATTGTAGCTGACAGACTGAAGGAGGAAGGCACTTATTTAATAAAATCATTAAAGTTCTGTTCAAGAAGCAAGCTTGTGTAGAATAAGGAAGCATAACAGCACGGAGCTCAGTTTAGGCACAGGATTAGGAGAGCAGGCAGTGTGAAAGAGGAGCAGCTAAACATAGAGAGGAGAGGTGTCCATCAATTTATAAAGCCTTAGAAAAGGAGTCACATTAACACAGAGGAAAAAAGCACAGGCTCTATGGAGGAAAAAAAAATCTCAGAATCCTTTTGGCTCCCCTTCCCTTTTACAGTATTTAATATGTAAATTAATATTAAACATATTAAACAGCTTTTCTTCAGTTTTCATGGTTTAAAATGGGGCGAGTAACAGGGCTTCTGTACCAGTGTTCTGAGGAGACTTCCACCACCAGGACTCTGTCGCTGTGCTCCTAAAAATGTTTCTGACTATACTGGGTTTGCTAGTGTTGGATTAAAATGCCAAAAGTCTGCTAAAAGTGTAGAGTGGAAATTAAAGGAGAGACAACATTGACAGTGAAGGTATCAGTCAAAGTGCAGGGGGAGCATGGAGCAGGAGCTGATGTGGGTTAAAAACCTGACTTTCAGGAGGCAGCAGAAGAGCTCTCAGAGCAGGCAGAAGGGATGGGAAGCAGAAAGGTGAGGACAGTCCATGTATGCTGAGCAATAAAACAGGCCTGTGATTTCTTTCATGAAGGAGGCAGAAGGAGGGGAGCTATAATTTGCCAGAGAATGGGGCATATTAATTCCTTCTTTGCAGCCATTCTTCCTGGTGGCAGAGGACCTACCTCCTCCTCTCCCGATTAGCTGTGCAAGTGCCATGCACATTCCTCTAAAAATTGCTGCTAGCCCTGGGGGAAGAAACCCCTGTGGCTGCCCAGCAGGGAGTTAATCATCACACGCATCTCCATGTCAAATTAAATCCTCCTTTAGAAAAGAAGTGTGGGGGAAGAGGGGCAGCAGCAAAACCCACTCTGTGTGGTTGTGGATGTGTGTAGGTGTGCACACACCTTTCTGTGATGCAGCTACATTGCAGTTCTCTGGGTTTTGCTGAGCTGATGAAAGTAAAATACCAGTGAGAAAGTAAAAATAATGAGGAATAATAAAGCTGCAAATGGAAGTTAGTAGGGAAATAGAAAAGTTTTTTCTATGAAAGCCCAAAATCTCACATCAGATTTATTTGTGCTGAGCCTTTCTGATCTGGGTGTTTTATATGGGTTCACAAATGCATTTGACACCGTGGGAGTGTGTCACAGGGAGAAAAAAATTCTGCACAGAGGAACTTACAAGAACAACTGCATCATCACCTTGATGTTTCAGTGTGGTGGCAGGTTTAAAAAAAAAGAACCAAACAACTAAATTAGAAACTTACCTTTGCTGCTGGGTTTGCAATCAGTTTATTCTGTAAGTCCCCTGTCTGTAATCTTGGAAAGTTTTGCTTTAAATCTCAGTCAATCCATTCTCATTAACTTAAATAATCTGAATATCTCACAGAAATGATGAGTATTTCTACTTCTTTGCAATGAAAACTATCCAAAGCACAGGACTTTAATGTTCATATCACTAAAAAAAATTTAAGTCTTCCATAATGTCATTTACCTCACCTCTCCAAGGCAGGCATGAGATTCTTCTGGGAAAGAAAGAAAGAAAAAATTACAAAAGTAATCTGGAGATGTAAAAACAAAATTTACTTTCTTTTTTATTCTCTTGTGGTTTTTTGTTTTCTGAAAAGCTTGCAATACTGATTTCTGGAAGTGTGTGTAAATATCAATCAAGTCAGTAATTGGAATAATGAGTCCAGCTTCCAGGAAACTGTACAAAGATCAGATTCCTCAAAAAATAAACTAAATCCAAAGGATTTAGTTTTTAAGGACTGGTTTCCAAACCAGTCCTTAAAATCTTGAGCACAGTTCCTTGTCTTTGCTCACAGATGATTTGGTGGTTATGTGCTCACTTTTGTGCCTATAAAATCCCCAGCTCGTACATCTCTGACATCCAGATGTAACTGAGATGTGTTATAGCCCAAGTTCAGACTGGGGCCACTGCCTTAAGCCTTCCCTTGCCAAAACATGGGATGCACAGAAGCCTGGATGTGTCTGCAGCTGAGGACTTTCACTGTTTTGCCCCAGTGTAGATGTGAGCACAGTCAAAGGGTGCTAAAACCCTCTGAACCTTAAGGAGTATGTTTGGGGTGGTGAGTGGTTTGTGCACCTGGCCTGCCCTCCCTGCACACACCCAGCCTGTTCACAGAGCTCTGTCTGAGCTCTTCCTGCACCCTTGGACCCAGGAGCTGCTGGAGCACATGAATGACCCTGGCGTGCTGAGGGCAAAATCCTGCACTCCATTGCCCATGCTTTGCAGTAAGGCCTTATCCAAAGGCACACTCCAAATCCAGCCTTTGGCATGAAAGCAAGCCTCATTTGTAAACTGTAATTGATTTGAAGCCTGATGCTTTCCAGAGAATTTTTCATGGCAGCAATACATTGAGGTAGAAAATTGCTATTGTGCCCTATGTCTATTAAACAGCCTTTTCTCTGATTCTAGCCAGCAATTTAAATGGTATTAAATATTATTTTTAAATGGCCTCTCCAGAAATCTCTGTACATTGAAAATGTTCTATTCCTTTGCTAGCACTCGATCTCCAAAGCAGTCCTGACTTCTCCCAAAAGCTACTCTATTTGTACTGATCCAGAGACTTAGGAAACTCAAATATTTGAGGCTGTAAATAAAGCTACTAGGCTAACTAATAAAACCACCTAGTGATCACTGAATAATTTGGACAGCTTTTAGAATGGCTCTATGCTTCTCCTTAATCCCTTTTGTTGGAGTATTTGTAGATCTTGGAGAGAAGAAATCTCACCAAAAATTGGCCATTCCTAGACAGACAGATGGTGATCTCTGAACATCAGAAGTTTTCTCTTTAGTTGCTCTAAACCTCAGGAGTTTGCTATATCTGATCTCCTTTTCAATATTAAATAGGGAATAGTTTACTTTGATGTGTGTGTATACACATCTCTTTAGCACTAAAGAGATTTGAACAGTGAGTTCATGTGCAATGATTCTTCTAACTTGTGTCAACACAAGAGAGTACATTGTCCTCTTTTCTTTAGGGAAAAAAACCAACCAAAACTGCTGTGTGACAGAGATTCCCACACCAAACATAACCTTTTGGAATAACTGAATATTACAGACTGAAACTAAATTGTCCACCATAGAAAACTGGAAAAATAGTTTTGCCTTTCAAGAAATGCTGGTATAAAAGCCCCAATAAACATGTCTTTTCCAGGCATCATAGACATCTTTCATAGGTTATGTACCCAGCTGGGTGTAAGAGTTTTGGAGAGTTTACTAGCTCATGGACAGTATCACCTGCTAGGGTGCAGCTGAAAACACATTTGTCCAGAGAATTTATACCAACTTCTTCCAGAATTGCTGGGGGCTATTGAGGATGTTCTCAGCAGCTCCCAGACCACTGACCTACTCTGAGCCATTACAAGTTTATTGCATTAATTTCTCTGTCAGAGGTTGGCAACTCTCAGAAACCAATTTATTAAAATACTAAAAGTAATATTTCTTGTGCAGACAACGTGATTCATTGAGAAATTAATCGTATTACTTTTGCCATATTTAAAAAAATATATGTGTTGTATATACTGGAATATGAGCAGGTTAGTTGAGGTGTTGGGTAACTGCAGGACATTTTAGGCATGAGGCATTTTGACTTGTCCATTTAAGAATTGTGGGATCGTGTTACACTTGGTAAAAAAACAAAACAAGGATTTTTGAATTAAAAAAAAAAAAAAAAAAAACAACCACCAAGTAGAAAAACCCCAAAAAGCAAAGTAGGAGGGAATAATCTGTCACACAGTTGGATTTTTTATTATTGCTTTTCTATCCAATTTAATATATGAATATGTGTCTACCAGAGAGTTATCAGTAGATCTTGGGAAAAGGGAATATATATCAGGAATATACCAGTTCAAACTGTAGCCTAAAAGGCACTTCTATTCTCCAACCTGCTTCAGCAAATGCCAGATTTTGTTGTTGTACCTGTGAGATAAAAACCCTCCTCCTAGTAAAGTGTGGGTAAGGTGAAACTGCACAGCTGAAGGTGCAGCATCCCAGTGGAAGCAGCAGAAAACATCAGTTCTTCCAAAGGCAGCCTGATATTTCCATGCAAGAGGAACTCTGAGGTCTGGCACAATGAGAGCAGTCCAGCACTAATGACACAGGAACAAGGGCTATGCCATCCCACCCTGCCAGACAGAATTCTGAGAGCAGCCATCAGCACAGCTCGGTTTCATGTTCCTGACTGTGGAAGGAGGCTTCCCTCAGGGTGATTCACTCGAGCTGAGATTTGAGTTCTGGAAGGGTTTTTTTCTCTTCATTAAATACAGAAGAAACTGCTAAATTAAAACCCCTCAGTGACAGGTTAATGGTAGGTGGTGGGTGCTGATGCTCCAGGAAAAGATACAGGAAATGATATTATAGATGGAAAGCTAGTCATGATGGTCTCTGTTCAATCCTCAGGAGACAGAAATGCATTGTAGAAGTGAGGTGGGACTTTTTCTGTTCCTTTTAAAATAAATGTCAGGTGTTGTCTTTAGTCTTCTGGATTTTGGGGGCAGGCCTATTCAGTGCCTTACTGAATGCTAGTGGCTTTCTGGCTTCAGAGCCATTTACCCCAGCAAGTTCCACATTTTTCCAAGTTGTGTGATAAAGGTATTCCCCTGAACTAGTTTTGGATCAGAAACCTTTTGTCTGTGGAATGGGCAAGGTTTGATTTTCCTTCTTTTGGCCACTTTGTTTTAAATCCAAGGAAGCAGAAAGACCAGCACCCTTTCCAGGCCATGTTTTGTGTTTCCTTCTTTTATGAGAGCAGAGGAGATTTGGCTTTGCTTCATTTCCAAAGTAAATTATCCCAATATTTTATTCTTCTTTTCCTGGTGCAGTTCTTCCACAGCCTAGGCTATTCCTATCACCTTAGGTGTTTCCAGTGGCTGTTCTTCTTCAAAAACTAGAGCAAAAAACCTGGTCCTGTTTCAGCAAGTTTAAAATCCAGTAATTTCTTCCCCCATTGTAGTTCCTCCTGCAGATGCTCTGTCTGTTTCTGCTGTCCCCTGTGTCAAACCAGCCTTCAGCACTATCTGGGGGGACTCTAGTCCTAGCCAGCCATTTCTTCTAAGTCTCCTGGTCATGTCCTGCCCACATCTGCCTTCAGTTTTGGCTCAGGGACTGCCCTTAATAGTCACATCTGCAGACAGGAGTGTGAGGGTGTCACTTAACAAACAATTATTAATAATGAAAGCCTTGCTATTAGCATTGTACATAGCCTGCCCAGAGCCTTTTTGTCTTCTCCTCTCTAAGCAGGTTTTGATGTGTAATCCAATTTCTGTGTGCAGAAAATTGCCCTTCAGTCAGCACAGAGGGCTGGTGGTTCAGCTGAAGCTCTGTTGCCTCACATTGTCACTGATGGGGTAAGAGCTCCCAGGTGCTGCTCAGCCAGGGCCTGTGCCCTTGAGCTGCCAGGAGTGCTCCACTGTCATTGTCACACACCCTAAATAAGCCAGAACCCCTTTTTTCTGACCTGGGAGGAAAAAAAAAAAGCCAGCTAAAATGATCGCTTTTAACAAACTGATTTCACAACTCATTTATCAAGCCCTATAGCAAGCCATTTATTTTAGCTCCTTTTTGCTCCATGAAAAGCTGTGTGTTAAAAGGGAGAGGTGAGTTTGGAGAGCAGTGCCACCGCCCTCAGCAGCACTTTGCTGGGAGGCCTCCCGCTGGAACTGGGGGTAGGAGTTGTTATTTCTCCTGAAGTGATTCCCACCTAAATCAAAATATTTCTTTTGTCAAGTCTAATAAGCACTGAACACCACAGGCTTTGTTTCACTGCAGATATGAATGAATGCCTCTGTATGGTACTTTCTGTTGCCATGAAATATATATATATATTTGTATGTACATATATATATATATGTGTGTGTGTGTGTGTGTATATATGTAATGGGGAGCGTAATTATTGCTCTACTCAAAGAAAGGTGACATTCCACTTCAATGTAACTTTTAGGTGCAGCTTTTAAGAGAAACCATGTCTTAAAGGGAAGCTGGAAGTGTTTAGAGGTACATGTTGTAATGAGCTTTGATGAGATTTAATAAGCTTTGAGTTTGGTTTTCAGTCTCTAGGGTGAAAAGCACCCAAGATGATTTTTCCAGCACATTCCCAGATCAAACCCTGTAAGAATTTAACCTGGGAGGCATTGCTTGAACACTGGCTGTTCCTGAAGGTGTTTGCATGTGCTAGGTGTGTGTCTGTCCTCAAACTGCAGCCTGCATTTTGCACATGATTGACTGGAAGGCAAAGGACACACCTTTGTCTTGCTCCACGATCCTGGTGGTAATTTTGGCACAGTACATGTTTTCCCTTTGATCAGTGCGAGTTTTTCAATGTTTTTTCCCTTTTAATTTATGTTAATTGAGTTTATCAGGTGATTCCAGGAGGGCACACTCCATCTGCCCAGCCTCAGAGCTTCCCTTTCAGCAGCACACCTCCTTCTCTTTTGTTTACTTGACTGTACTGGACCACTGTGAAGCGATTACACAAGCAATAATGCAGGCGTTGCATTTTTCTGTCGTTGCCTTTTGTGAGACATAGCTCTCCATTGACACTGAAAAGTGGTAGGAGGTAGAAGCTGCATTGTTGTTTACTGGCAATATAACCCATGTCCATGTTCCTGCAGGGCTCCTCACTCCTCACAGCAGTGGGCTGTCTTGGGCCCAATTTAATTCATAAGCCTGGATTTTAAACAGTTTTGGATTCCTTCACCAACACTCCATCAATCTTGCTTCCATCAGTTTTTGTGCTTTTGTTTAGTTTCAAGCTAGAAGAAAGTTTAAAGAAACGTGCTAAGACTCCCATATAGGGTGAGTAAATATCCCATAAATTTCACAAACATTACGACAAAATGAAGGGATTTGCTCTCACATTGAACAGAATTAATAACTTCTAACTGATAAATTAAATAGTTAATAAGAACAGCCTGGAGCAAAGTTCTGCAATCAAACTGTTCTCTGCTTTTAATTTAAAAATCAGAAAATACTGAGGTACATTTTCCCGCTTTCTTTTAGAAGTCATCTGAAACTAACGTGTGAATTCTCCTTAACAGAAAGTTTATTGATATGAATCTAAATTTCAGCAGCATGTCCCATGTTAGATCACCTGCCTGTGGGCACAGGGAAAACCAAAGGCTGTTTACAAGAGAAATTAATATTGTGAATGGTTTTAAAATTCTTCACGGCTCCTATCCACTTCCAAATGTCAGTAATGGGGAGGATCTGAAGCCTTCCTGTGAACCCTGTCATTGTGCATGTTGAAATCCTGGCTTGAATTCAGGTCTCCACTTCAGCTTTTGTAAATGTTAATATTCAAGTAGAACAAAAACCTTAGAGGCAATTACAGCATGCACATCTCTTCTAGTTTATGTATAGTAGCTGATAGCAAAGTCTGCAATAATAATCTGTGTTTATACATGTGCTGTACAATGTAACAGTTGGGTACAAAATACCTTTTAACTGTCACAAGGAAATAACTGGATTGATTTCACTTTTTGCTTGTATGAATATAATTATTTGCCTTGCGGGGACCAGTTCCACTTTTGTCATGTTATTTATGATTTTTGAATAAAATTTTGATAAATTAGGCTCGTTTCTAAGGTAAACAATACTGGAGCCAAGCAGCTGTCTCTGGACATGTGCATGTTATCACAGCTGATATCAAGTCCAGGTCCAACTCCTTGCTTTGCTTGGACCTTTCTTTAACCTTTCAGGCTTATTCAGGGAAATGTGGACCACTCTATTTTCTTATTAAATATATGGCTTTGTGAAAAGCTGAACTTATTTTTTAAATTCTTTCTTTTCTGGTTCAGAAAGACTGTAACAATCATATTTTTCTAAACTGCCTATTGCTTGTGTTGGGAAATTATATAGAGATATATATTTTGCTCTACAGATTTCCATGTACTTTTGGAACTCTTTGTTTTCATAGATAAATCTTCCTGTTTGCTAGAATTAGCTCAAAAAGCTGTAAGCTTCTGTAAAAAAAGCTGTAAGCTCTGTGAAATTATGTAAAAACGCAGCTGCATTAAAAGACTGACTTTATGTTTTATGTAAATTGTTGGAGCTAAGTCATCCTGGGTGTTATGCCATGCAAGATGTACAAAAAGAAATCAGGTCATTGTTTTGAAAAGCTGGACGGCGTTATGTCACACTGCCTAAAAGTGCCAGGTGAAAGCAGGAGAGTTGATTCTAGAAATGGTACCATCTTGGGCCCTGAGTCTGTATTTTTTTTTTACATTGTTTAGAACCTTATCTGAAAATTAGTCCCATGAAACTTCATGGGAAATATTAAAAATAAGAGCCTGTGGTGTGTGCCTAGCATGATAGAATAAGGACCTTTTCTAATGAAGAACATTGCATTTTAAGTAGTTAAGAGACTATGATTTGAGTATTTCAGGACAACTTTCTTTTCTGAGCTGTAGACTCCTCCTGTGTATTGTGGATTTATTCCATAGCTGAAATGCCAGATTAAATTGATTGAAGCCCCATGAGCAGATGAACATAATAGAAAGCTGCAGTGAAATATTGCAGAAAATGGCTTGATTTCATTCTTCAGAGCAATAGTTAAAGTAACTCACAGCCTTGGCTTGTTTGCACCTGTGAAGCAGAGGCCCTTGTTTTGTACCTCAGCTGTGGTATAACATGGAAGGGTTTCTGCTCTCTGCTTGGAAAATACTGTCTATTCTTCATCTTTGTCAAAGCATAATATTTCCCAAGTAAAAAAAAAATCTGATTCTTCAAGACTCATAGGAGAGTTAAGGGGCAGCTGGGACCTTTTGTGATCCAGCCACATTATTCCAAAAGTTTATCCCTTGATGACAAATAAAATATGATGTGACTTTGCTGTTTGCAAGTAGGATCAAGAGACTGGAAATTCATCACCCCAAGCCCTTGCCTGTTCTGTGACGCTTCAGTGTTACCAATGAACTGTGTTGCATTGGATTATAAAATCATAGTATTTTATTGCATGTGTCCTTTTTTGAAATGAAAATATAGTTGTATTTGATGTTGCAGTTATAATGCAGTAAATAAACACATGTACATTTCTTTTTAAAGACTTTTAGGTTATTTTGGGTGGTGGCTATAAATTTTTGCTGTGCTTTTTTTTTGTACCATCAGAGTATTTGGGCTGACCTAAAAACAACCAGAACAAGTGAAGCAAGGATAAAATTTGCTGCTTCCTGCCTCTCAGCTCAGGTATCACTGGAAGATGGCTGTGCTAAATGTAGCTACTTCATTCTAGTCCTTTGAGATTTAACAGAAAATGTCGGCTTTTCTGTGCATTATTCCAATAGAATTGTACTGGACCTGAAGAAAATGTGAATTTGCTAAATCATATTCTGATTCAGCATAAGTTCTTATGGCATTGGCCCCTGACACTCTCTGTGGGTTTCTCCTCAATCCTAAACCTGGTAAGACAAAGGGGAGATTTTTTTGTGAACCTTGTGTTTGAGGTTAACACCAATCAGATGTGTAACCACTGCTGATCTCTCTGAAGAGCAATCACTGCAGCGAGTGTGTATGGATGCACAACTCTCATTAGCAGGTAATTGCTGGTTTCTTTCCTTAGTCTTTATGAGACAAAGTCTGCCAGTATCCCTGACATCAAAGGGCTCCACAGGCAGTTATTTCTGGACAAGTAGAAAACCACTACAATTTTTTGGTGAACCTGTGGGTTAGGTTCCCTGTTGCTTTTATGAACACATGGGGCTTTATGCAAGTCTTTGACTTCTCCCAGGCATTTGAACCATGTGATTTTGTGCCTTCCTATGAGCTGTCTCCTGCTAAGCTCCCAAAAGTACAAATGCAGACACTTCAGCTGATCGTAGCTGGGTCAAGGTTGGAGCAGCAGCCCAAATTCCTCCTAGGAGAGAGCAGGGTAAAACAAGCCCAGGGCTGTAGGAAAAGCAGAGTGTCATGGTGGGACAGTCTCATTCCCATTATGGCTACTATTGGTGTATTTAAGAAATTTCTGGTTTTACAGGTTTTTGTTTTCCCTTTGAAATGCATTTTTTCATCTTGCAGTTTGTTTTTTTGTGGAGCCAGAAAGGTGCCTGCTTTGTGTATATCAGGCCTCTTTTTCTGGAACTAGCAAAAAAACTTGGGGCTTCATTTTGTCCAAGACACTGTACAGAGACCAGGAAAGGCCTTTGTCCAGCAGGGAGGAAAAGGGCCTATGAACAGATAAAACAGCTCATGCTTGTATGGGGAATTAATATTTTGTTGATCAAGTTCAGCCTGCAAACAACTTTACAGCTGATTGGTGGGAGTTGGGACAGTCAACAAGAATTATTATAAACACTTTTAGAGGACAATTAAATACTCCAGGTAGTTATAAATCTCTGAAGTCATATATTACTGCAGAAACACCTGTTTTAGATAGCAACCCTGCTGCTAGAGGATGGAAGTTTGGGTTGTAGCAGCAAAAGGTGGCAAGTTCAATAAATAAGAATAATAGAATAAGACCCTCAAGTGGAGTAAATCAGTGTAGCTTCATTGAAGCTGTTGGAACTAAGTCAATTTACAGCAGTAAGAACCTGGCTTGTAGTCAACAGGGATTTTACAGAATGTTTAAAAACTCTCCATTTAGAGAGTTCTCTGCCTTATGTCTGTGCACTAAATTGTATCCACACAAAGTCCTTGCTGGTATAATGAGGTCATTTCGGATGTGAGCGTTCATTATATGCTTAGGTAAATTAAGGGGAAAAAAAATACATCATTAGCAAAGTCTTAAATAAAGGATGGAGCAAGGTTAGCGAGTGAGAACTATTTAAATAAAATCAATCTCAGCCCTGGAGAGTTTATGGGGAGTGGTTTTCTGCGGAAAAAGGCTGATGGTGTGTTGATGCTGCACATAGAAGCTGAGCACTACAGCCATGAGAGATTAAAAGCAGGGACTGAGATTTTTTTCCTAGGCTAATATTTCAAGCTTTCTAAACTTCATTCTGTGACATACCATGAATGCAGCCCAGGTTTCCAACTTCAGAAAAATGCTCTGATAAACACATATTGCTGGAGCAAATGAAACTGAAGGCTCATCCACTTTTACTGTAGCACTCGTAGTATTAAGAGGGATTGTAATATAATCCTCTTCAATGAATAACCCTAACAGATGTTATCAGGGTTGCTCTGTACGAGCTGTGGACCTCTTGCTAGAACTCCCTCTGTGGAAGTCCAGTTCATAAATTGTCCTAATGGGCTGCCTGCCTCGTCCTGCTGCTGCCGCGGCACGAAGAGGAGGTGGTTACCAGCGGCCTTGAAAGCCAGCATTATTCCCATCTGCTTTTCATTACAATCCTGCTAAATATTTCATGCTTTTTGTTTTACAAACAAATAAGAGCAGAACTAATCTTTTTGTTTAATGTTCGTTGATTGACATTTCAGGGAGGAAAAAATGTTTTGGGTTTGTTTTGATTTTTTCCTTTACTTCAGATCTCTGCAAAAGCTTTTAATGGAAGATAGAGCAGATTTCCGTCGACTTTTCTGGTGGGCTTTTTATGGCACCATTGATACAGGAAAAGATACGGGGGAAATCCAGATGATGAATGTGCTGTTCAATCAGCTGGGATTTCTTTGCTTGCAAGGAGATAACTCGATGAAGTGCAAACAGAGACAGGGAGCAGACATTGACTGCTTGTCAGCTATATGCAGAGCTATCTCTGGCTGGGGCTGCTGGAAAACACAGCAGCTATTAGTCCCCCTTTGCCCTTTCACAGCGCCCTGTCAGAGGGTCCCCAAGCACTGCAGCCAGACCCATCCATTAAACCTCAGGGTAACAAGTCTGTTGAATTGCTGCTTCTTTACAAAGAGGGGGATGGCAGCCCTGGGAGGATTCAGCTGACATTTTAACCCCCTGGTTCCCTAAACTCCCACTGAAGTGGATGAGTGAAGGCATACCTGTGGGCACTCTGCATCTCCAGCAGCAGGTGCTGTCTCTGTCCAGAGGGATGGATGTAGGTGACCCAGCTCCACGCAGGAACCTTCATCCCCAGGGCAGAGGTGGGTAAGGGGTCAGGAGGGCCCCTGGGGGATGTGCAGTCTCCCCTCGGGCCTGTGGACATGCTGGAAGAAGGTTTTGAGAGGTTTCTTTCCAAACCAAAGCATTGCCAGGCACAGAGTGAAGCCTCTTGGCCGATGCTGTTCCCTCAAGTGGCCGTGTTGGCTGGTTTGTCTGACATTTGGACAAATATCTTCATTGGAGCACCCAGGGGGCTGTGTCAGCTCTGAGGCCTAATTGCAGGGTGAGATGAAAGTGTGAAATGGCCCTCAGAAAGAGCTAAATATTCATAGAATCATAGGATGGTTAGGGTTGGAAGGGGCTTTTAAAGATCACTTCAGTCCAACCCCTGCTCCTGCCATGAGCAAGCACACCTTCACTAGACCGCATTGCCCAAAACACCATCCGGCCTGGCCTTGAATCCTTTCAGGGATGGGGCATCCACAGCTTCTCTGGGAAACCTGTTCCTGTGCCTCACCACCCTCAGAGTATAGAATTTCTTCCCAACATCTAATCTACCCTCATTCAGTATAAAAACATTACCTTTTATTCTACTGCTATCTATCCATATAAAAAGTCCCTCTCTCTCTTTTTTATAAGCCCCCTTTAGGTACTGGAAAGTGCCAAAAGGTCTCGCTGGAGCCTTCTCTTCTCCAGGCTGAACAACCCCAACTCTGGCAGCCTGTCTTCAGGGGAGAGGTGCTCCAGCCCTCAGATCATCTTTGTGCCCCTCCTCTAGACTCACTCCAGAGCACAGTCCTGGACACAGGACTCCAGGTGGGGTCTCATGAGAGCAGAGTAAATATCAGGAAAATATAAATGGTCCCTTCTTCCAGCCTGTTGCAGCCTGACCCTGCAACGGAGTGCCGGTGTGTCAGTGCAGATGGTTAAATCACCGTGCTACGTTTGACCACATAGTAGTATTTTTATATCATTGCACAAACAGAAATGAGTTTGTCTGATCCACTCTTGAGGCAAATTCTTTGCATTTATTGCAGGATTAATTTTCCCCCGATGGCTGATGCATCAACCACCCCATCCCTTTTTCCCACAATCGCTGGCCTGAATTCAGAGGCAGAAGTGAGTCTTGGGGCCTGACCCTAATGCTTGCCTGCAAATAGGCTTTATGACTTACGCTGAACAAGACACCCAAGCAGTAACATTATATACTGCCTTCTATATTATATTTCTTATTCTTCTAGCATTTTCCATATGAGGATCTCAAGGCCCACTGCAAGGTTTGACTAATTCTCAACAGTCAACTGTGCATTAAGATCTTATTGCTGAAATACTATTGCCAGGGCTAAAGATTGCTGTTCTCTCTACAACAGCATACAACAGTTTCACTCAGGACTGTAAAAATAAATTGTAACAGCCACAGTTCCTTGCATTTTATCATTTCATTATCGTTTTGACGTTTGTCTTAAAAATTTTCAAATCCAGGAATAGTAAATGCCGAGTCATAAAAGCTTAGGAAATGGGTCAAATCCAGAGTGCAAGGCAGCATTACACTGTCTGATCTGCTGTCTCCGATAATACCCTCATAAGACAAGGGTCTCTTATTTTTTTCTCCATTCCTGAATAAATGAATTGCAGCATGTATGAAATCTCCAGAGGCCATCTGTGACTGTAATTCATTTACCCACCATATTATGGAACAGATTTTCCAGTGAGTTCAAAACTCGGGAAAGGGGGGAAGGGAATAGTATGATGAGAAGGCTCTGCGATCCATATCTAAAAGTAAAAATATTATTCAATTGTCATATTTGATGGATAAAGTGTCTGACACACCAGGCAAAGCCATAGCAACTAGATAAATATGTTTAAAACATTTAATTTTGATACATTAAGAATGAGTTGGAGCAGGGTCTTATCGACACTGAAATTAAGCAGACATTTCTAAGTTCCTAAAAGCCTCTGATTTTGTTTAGTTTGGAAGAAAACATGCTGTAGATAACTTGGAAGTGTAAGGGGAAGTTGGACTTGGTGCACAAAGGAGCAGCTCTGACAGGTCAGGACTAGCAATTACCTTTCTTCTTCATCTGTTATTTTCCAAGT